AGAGGATCAGCAGAGATGGCTGAGTAGTTAAGAGCACTGGCTGCTCTTCCAAAGGACCCTGGTTCAATCCCCAGCAACCACATGGCAGCTCACAACTGTCTGTAACTCTAGTTCCTGGAGATCCGACATCTTCACACAGACATACATGCCGGCAAAACACCAATGCACATAAAATAAAAATAAAGAAATGGAAAAAAAATTGGGCCAAAGACCTTAGCAGAGACATCGCCTGGGAAGACAGGGTAAATAAACACATGGAGAGATGGCCACATCACCCATCATAGAAATCCAAACTGAGCAACAGGAAATCACTGCACACACTGCCCAAACCTGGAACACAGCTCCAAATGTTGGTGAGCATTTGAATCTACAGGAAGTCTCCTTCACTGCTGGTAGGAATGCAACATTATTCAATTCAGAAAATAACACATAACCCCAACAATTGTCTTCCTTAGTAGAACGTAATCTTAGTTACTTTTATTACTGCTGTGATAAGCCATAAGGACCAAGGCATTTAATTTGGGGCTCACAGTTCCAGAGGGCAGTATAGTTCACGGACATCATGGCAGGGAGCAAGGCAGTAGACAAGGTGGCATGGTGCTGAGAGCTTACATCTGATTCACAAGCAAGAGGCAGAGAGAACTAACTGGGAATAGCGTGGGCTTTAAAACCTCAGAGCCCACCCCAGTGACACACCTCCTCCAACAAGGCCACACCTCCTAATCCTTCCTGAAGAGTTCTACCAACTGGAACCAAGCATTCAAATACACGAGTCTATGAGAGTCATTCTCATTCAAACCACCACAGTTATTTATAGTAGCTTTGTTCGTAAGTGTGGACACTTAGAAGCAACCAAGATTTCCTTAAAACCAGGACACAAACACATACTACAAAGTATAAGAAGACTCCATGAAAAGGCTATAATGCTGTATGATTTTAACTGTATAACATTCTGGAAAACACAAAGTTATGCAAAGGGTGAAGATATCTTGGTTTGGGGAAATGGCAGGGAAACCAGGCATAGCACAAGGTTTTGAACAGGGGAAATACTCTGTAAGCTGTAACAGTTGATACACGTCATTATATAGTTATCAAAACCCACAGAGTGCAGAACAGAAAGAGTGGTCCTACGGGTAGTGGTATGCTAGGACAAAAGTGATGTGCCCGGAGCAGAGTCTCTGTACCTACCCCTAACCCCTCCCCACGCCCCCGAGAAGTTCAATGTGCTTTAATTTTTTTAAATCTAATTATGAGCCGGGCAGTGGTGGCGCACACCTTGAATCCCAGCACTTGGGAGGCAGAGGCAGGTGGATCTTTGAGTTCAAGGCCAGCCTGGTCTACATAGCTAGTTCTAGGACAGCCAGGGCTACACAGAGAAATCCTATCTCTAAATACACACACACACACACACACACACACACACATTCTTGTCACACCCACCTCGCCAGCAAGGAAGACGCCACAACAGGATTCTTCTTCACACACTTTATTGGGGAAATACTCTTGATTGCAAAGCGAAAGACCCCCGAAGCCCGAAATGGGTGCTGCTTAAATAGCTATCACAACTGTGTATAAGTGTCTAATTGGTGCTTCTTACAGAACTTCATTTACATACTGCCTGGGAGGGTGAGGAGCCGAGTCTGAAAGATACGCGGGCTCACAGCAGGTGTACCTGAATACAGTTGTTTTCCACCTCAGACACAGGAAACAGGTGCCATCTTGTGATGGCGGCTCCTTACATCTCCCTCTATTTTATTTTTTAAGAGCAGGCACTGGCCAATGTCCCTGTCTTAGGCTAGTTGACGTGCCCCCATAGCCAGCACCAACAGGACAAAATTCCAATAAGGAAGGGTGAGTTCCCTGTCTTAGGCTATGAGGGTTGCACCCACGCCTGGAATTCTGTATGAAAGAGAATGTGCACCCAGGTCTCGGCCACTCACTATTCCCGCCATGGGGTTGACTCACAGCCTTTAATCCTGGATGGTGTGCCTCTGGCTTGTGGTGTCAACCTACTCCCGTCATTGGGATCAATGGCAGCTGGCCTTGAGAAAAGAATCACAGATCTTTATGAAGAGCCGCTAGCCACACTTGGGGGGATGTACCTTGTTCGAGGGCTAGCAATGCTTGAGTAATTAGTACTTTGCCTCTTCTTTGATGAAATTTAAGTTTGCAAAGCAACCACAGACACAATACCAATCCACAGCAAACTGCAGTCCCAAAGAGAACTACCCCTATCCATTCCTTAAAGTAGGAAAATGCAGAAGTTAGCCAAGAAGTAAAATCTCCCACAGTGATAGGATTGATGCGGGTTCCATTCAGTATGATAGTCTCCATCAACAGACGATTCTGCAACCGCTCCGCTTGCTGCGACCAACTGCCTCTTAAAAAATTAGACAACAGGTTAGCATCTTTAAAAGTAGAATTATCATACCTTAATGGGGTAATGCACATGTATTTAGTATGACTAACACAACTTAGCTGTACAATATCTACAATCTCTTCCAATTTGCTTTGAAGGTCTACTCTCTGATTAACCAAAAGAATACCAGAAGTGAGATGAGCATTCATTTGATGCTGTGTAACCAGAGCATCTGCAGCTCTTTCTACTAAAGCATCAACAGTTTGAGCTGCATTTACTTGAAAAATAAAAAGAATGAGCTATATGAAATAACAGATTTCAGGACATGAAACATGAGCAGGGCCTGTGATTACTCAGGTTTACAGTTTTGTGGGGTTTTGTTTTGTTTTTGTTTTTGGTTTTTCGAGACAGGGTTTCTCTGTGTAACCCTGGCTGACCTGGAACTCACTCTGTAGACCAGGCTGGCCTTGAACTCAGAAATCTGCCTGCCTCTGCCTCCCAAGTGCTGGGATTAAAGGCGTGCGCCACCACTGCCCGGCCAAGTTTCTGTTTACAATAGGCTTCTGCTAGAAGTTTTTCATCAAATTGCTATCTATTCTCATTTTGCTAAGTAGATACTGGATTTTAAATGCTAACCCTTCAGATAATTGTATAGTGTTAAACTCCTAAATTATTAACACAATGAATTGCAGTGATAAGTGTTTTTTTTTATGTTAAACACTTCTGGGGAAACCTTTTTTTTTTTCTTAAGTCTATCTAGCTAGACTACTAGGTAGGTTTAGTGACCTGTCAAGAGCTTTATCTATTGGTGAGTTTAACTTTATCTATTGGTAAGTTTTCTCTTGAGATATCTTTGCTGGGTTTAGTTGTTAAGACACTACTGCTAGTAAATGATCTGAGTACTTTCTTCTGTGCTCAGTGGGGGCGGGGAGACGGCTGACTGCTCTTCCAGAGGTCCAGAGTTCAACTCCCAGGAACCACATGGTGTCTAACAACCATCTATGATGGGATCTGATGCCCTCTTCTGGTGAGTCTTAAGACAGCTACAGCGTACTCATATACATTAAATAAACAAATAATGAAAATACAGCATCCATGACAGCAAATTGGGCAAGTAAAGTATGTGCAACTTGATGCCCTGTTCCAGGCAAAAGAGCCAGTATGTATGTGCCTATGCCAGGTGAGAAATGCAGAGGCTATGCCTGGAAAGTGAGTGTAAGGGTTTCTTACTGTGTAGCCCTGGCTCTCTGTCCTTCCTTCCTTCCTTCCTTCCTTCCTTCCTTCCTTCCTTCCTTCCTCCCTTCTTTCCTTCCTCCTCTTCCTTTCTTTTTCTCACGATGTAGCTCTGGCTGGCTTGGAACTCTCCATGTAGTCCAGTCTGGCTTTGAACTCACAGAGATCTGCCTCTGCCTCCTGAGGGCTGGTATTAAAGTAGTGTGCTACCATGCCCAGGAAAGTTACATCTTAAATGAGTTAAGAGAAATGAAGTGGATTTAGCTCAAAGTGGATTTAGCTCAAAATTTTGCTTCTTATTTTGTATATGGAATCTAAAACCCTTGTATGTCTGGATTGCATGTAAGATCCTTTCTTTACAGCTATATTTACAGACCAATTCCTGTTTTCTTATTTTGTTCTTATTGCTTCAAATTCTGGTCTCAAACTCCTAGGATCCAAACGAACTTTGTTTGAACCCATTGTTCTGAGCCTGTTTAAGGGCAGCTTTTGGTTTGCACATTCCTGGAGAGCTCTGACAGCTTACTGGGGTGGTAAGTGGTACCCCTGAAATCTTATGCCTTTCCTGCAACCTCACAACGTGAACTTGGAAATAAGGTCGCATGCGCAGTAAATAGGAACAAGCTGGGCTTTTAAATCCAACAGGATGGATGTCCTTATAAAACACGGAAACAAGCAGAAATAAGAACAGCGTTTGACAACAGAGTAGAGCGGTGCTGCTTCAAGTCAAAGCACATACATGACTTTTAGCGATCACCAGAAACTAAGAAAGGCAAAGATATCTATTTAAAATGACAGATGAAGCCTAACTCTACCAAGACGCAAATGTCAAATGTCTGTTGTTTCAGTCTCTCAACATTTGAGCCCTGCCCCCAGGAAAATAATCCAAAAATGATTTTACTTATCTTCCTAGACTCCAGAAGTACCAGGTCCCTGACCAAGGCTAGGAAGCTCTCCCTCCTTTCCTTGATGAATATGCATGGGCTTGCAACCAGGGGGAGTAACGGGAGCCACTGATTAAAGGCTACTGAGGGGCAGCGCACACTGTGCTCTATATAAGCAGGGTAGCTAGACTGAAGAACACTAAGAAGCTTAACAGCCAGGGCTGCGTGGCACACGGTCACAGAAGAGTGTCGCAGGGGCGGGGCGGCGGACTTCAGTCCCCAGGAAGCCAAGGGAGCAAAGAACATCAAACTCAAACCAAGGAACAGCTCTCCACACCCACCCAGGAACCGCAAGCCGGTCTGGGAGGCTCCAAGATCCCAGGCGCCAAGCTGCAAGTCGCTAAGCAGCAGAGCAGCAGAGAACTCGCACTGAGCATGCGCACAGGGAACTGACGAGCCACGTCGCGCAGCGCTGCTGCCAGAGACAGGACTTCCTCCCGACCGCCAAGAAGACGGAAGTGGACTCGTTTTCCACCGGAAGGAGGGAGAAATTGCGACCGAGAGCCGGACACCTGATGCTGGCGGCTTTTGTCTCTCAAAGTTGGGACAGTATTTGGCCACCTTGTGCGGCGGGTGACTGTGGTGTCTCGGTATGTAGCTGACGTGGCCAGCGTCCCAGGAATGGGAGAAGAGATGGGTAAGCTGCCCGGGTATCGATCGTCCTCTGTCTTGGTTTTCTCCATCTTTTTAAAAGAGGGTTGCTAGCCCACGGAATGGTGGGTAGATGTGGAAGAAGAAATACGCAGTCACACAGACTGAAGTTCAGTTAAGCACACACACATGCATACGCACGTACAGACGTGCGTACTTAACAAACATACATATTCACATGCACGGAGCTGTTGAATATTGCCTCTATAAATCCAGGCATTCCGAATCGATGACTCTTCGCTTGAGGAATCACCTGTTGCAGTTATTTTAGCACGCGTGCGCACATACACACGCAGTGAGTGATTTTTAAGTTTCTTGAATATGTCAGCAAAGCCATTTAATGTTAGAAATGAAACAAAGCCGTCTTGATGATGCATCTCATTTTCACTTCAACTGAAGGGCAGCAAGGAGACGGTAGAAAGTCACATGGTTTGTTAAGGACAGAGTCATAACTAAAATCGTGTAGAATTCTTGTAGAAAGGAGTCTATGCAAATTGTTTTAAAATTGCTTTCCGATGGGGTGGGTGGTTGGGTAGGAGGTTGGAGACTTGAAGGAGTGAAGACAGTTGTGAGGTACATTTAGACAGCAGCTTGATGGCTTAGTAGTTAAGAGCATTTGTGGCACTTTCAGAGGATCCGAGTTTGATTCCTAGCACCTATATCATATTGCTCACAAATCACCTGTACCTCAAGACCCAGGGAGTTCAACACACTATTCTGGCCTCCTTGGGTACCACACATATATGAATGCGCCCACATAGACACACACACACATATATCTGCATATATGTGTGTGTGTGTATATATATACACATATATATGTATATACAAATATATGTCTGTGTGTATGTATATGTATATATACATACATACATACACACACACACACACACACACACACACACACACATATATATTTAAGATAAAGTGTGAGTCCACCACCAAAGGAAAGTCATTTGTCAGTCATCTACATGTTTGAACCTATAGACCAGTGGTTATCAACCGACCCCTTTGGGGTCAAATGACCCTTTCACAGGGGTCACCTAAGACCATTTGGACCACAGATATTTACATTATGATTCATAACACTAGCAAAATTACAGTCATGAAGTAGCAACAAAGATAAGTGTATGTCGGGGTCACCACAACACGAGGGCATTAAACAGTCACAGCACTGGGAGGGTCGGGAGGCGCTGCTCTAGATGGGGATGAGTTTGTCAAGTCTGCCATTTCCAGTATACCGGGTAGTAACAAAGCACAGAGGGGAATCGCCATTGTCTATTACCTGGCATTCCATAGAGAACCCTGGGGAGCTTTAGCAAGATCTGAGCTCCCCCTAGAAAGCTTGTAGCTGAATACTTATTTGACTTTTCACTATGGCTTTGTTGTAATAATCTGTAGAACTTTGCCTTAGACTCTTTATGGGAAATTCACTATAAAGAATTTGTAAGTTGCCTACAGGTCGAGGAGAGATACTGTAAAATGCACTGTAATCAAGCCTCGCTCTCTTTTTAGATAATATGGCATCTGCAGCTTTAAGTGTGCCCTGCGTTATTAGTGATATCAGCTCAAGTGTACCCTGTATTATTGCTATTATCTTTCTTATACTACAATAGAAACATGTAGGACAATGGAAACCTGTCAAGGAAGGGAGCCGAAAAGATCCAAAAAAGTAACTGTGTATTAGCAAACACAGATTATTGGCATCATGTACAAAAGATCTTAGTAATAAGGAACTCATTCGGTTAGGTGTTCACTGTGGGGGATCCATAAGTACTACCTGCAAACAAATTTCAAAATTTTTGGTCTCAAGATACGCTTAAAATTATTGAGAGCTCAAAAGAACATTTGTAGGCTATTAATAATTGAGCTATTTGAAAATGAAAGCTAGCCAGGTGATGGTGATGTATGCCTTTAATCCCAGCATTTGGGAGCCAGAGGCAGGTGGATCCTGTGAGTTCAAGGCCAGCCTTGTCTACAGAGCGAGTTACAGGACAGCCAAGGCCACACAGAAACCCTGTCTCTCTCACACACCACACATACACAAAACAAAACAAGAAGAAAATGAAATCTGATACATGTTTTAAGGACAAGAATAAAGAAGCACAAACTCTAGTAGTTTTGATAGTGGCCAATGTCTCCACATATTATGTGGATTCTAGTTAAGACTCTGCTGTTTGTCACTGAAGAGGGGAGAGGACAAATAATGTCTTGTTTTGTTTTGATGAAAATGTTTTAACCTAACTTAACTTTGGAAGGCTTTCAGAGGCTCCCATAGGAAGCCTATTTTAGGCATAAGTGCTTTCTAGCCAAGCCTGATAATACAGACCTGAAATCCAGTGTCCCTGGAAAGTTATATCAGGAGGATGGCAGTTCAAGAACTGTCTGGATAACTGAGAGAGACCTTGTCCCCAGACAAAGGGTATAACCGCTGGGAATGTAGGAGAGTGCTGGAGTGTTCAGTTAGCATGCACCAGGCTCTGGGTTTAAGTGGCTTTATCCAAAAATAACTTTTTGTTTTATAGGCAAATGGTCACTGTTGCAACTGTGACATGAGCAGAAGTGTCACCTGAAAATGCAATACACAACACACACGTTACACCTCTAGAAGCTGTATAACTGTAGACACAAGAACACAAATGAGCTTACATTTTGTATTTCCTTTAGAAATCCTGTTGCCTGCTACTCCTGCTAAGAATTGATACCAGGGCCTCAAACATGCTAGACAAGTGTACAACCAGCTGTAGCCCAGCCTTCATGGCTTTTGTTGTCTTAAGTAACTGGCTCAGACCTGCTTCTCCAGACTTGCCAGTTCATTGCACTGGGACTCGGAGCAACACTAGGTAGTTTCCAGGTGTCCTCATTCTCTTGGTCTGTGTCTCGCCTCCTGCCAGGAACCTGCAGGCTGATGGCTGTTCTGCATCCACTTCCCTTCTCTGTTTAAAATGCCCATGAGTTTTGAGTTGATGGGTGAGTACTCAAAAACACATGCCGTTACTGACTGGAGTCGTTATACAAGTAGGTAAATGATGTTTACATTTTCTCATACTGGGCTGGGGTATAGCTCTGGGATGGCGGGTACCTTGTGTGGACAAAGCCCTGAGTTTGATCCCCAGCATCAAAGTTGGGGAGGAGGGGAGAACCCATGGACTCTTTTTTTTTTTTTGGTTTTTCGAGACAGGGTTTCTCTGTGTAGCCCTGGCTGTCCTGGAACTCACTCTGTAGACCAGGCTGGCCTCGAACTCAGAAATCCGCCTGCCTCTGCCTCCCAAGTGCTGGGATTAAAGGCGTGCGCCACCACCACCCGGCTTATGTCACTTTGTGAGGGAGCCTATAAAATGATTTTTAAAAGTACTTCACATTTGAGAAGAAATCCAGGAAATAGCTATGATTTTACAAGTTTGTTATTACCTATACAGGGTGTAATTTCCTCTGCCCCCCCCCCCCCAAAAAAATCTTAGTTTATAAACTGGAGATCTGCAAACACTGTGGCCAGCAGTGTCATGTCGACCCCCATGAGGCAAGAGGGAAGGCCAGTTTGATATAACTTAGTAGTAAGCAGTGTTCAAAATTCTAGAGTCTGACCTAGTGGTTTATTTTTTTTATTTTTTATTTTTTATTTTTTTTGGTTTTTCGAGACAGCGTTTCTCTGTGTAGTCCTGGCTGTCCTGGAACTCACTCTGTAGACCAGGCTGGCCTTGAACTCAGAAATCCACCTGTCTCTGCCTCCCAAGTGCTGGGATTAAAGGCGTGCGCCACCACCGCCTGGCTCTGCTGGTTTATTTTAGGTATATTTTATATAGTACAATTTGAAAAACGTTTCCTTGTGTATCATAATTTGATGTGCACAATAGGGCATAATTACATTGAAACTCTTTTCAAAGTATGTGTCACTTCTTTATGGTGGATATAGAGTCCACCATAAAGATAGACTCTGTATAGACCACATGTATTACCTTAAAGGTCTTGGAGAAGATCTCCGAGAAGGTCTGTTTGTGATCTCAGTCATACAGATAGTGCAAAGGTCATTACACTAATAAACTATCTCCAGTAGTGTTTCTAAGGGATGGAGGCAGGTGTGGCCTGGCCTTACAGATAGCACAGAGGTCACCAGGCTTTTAACAACATCCATTCTCAGCCTTCTGGGCAGAGAATAGGTTATGCATCTCTTCCTTTGAAGAGACAACCCAGCATGCTTAGCAGTCCTGGTTTCCCTAGTGCTTATATGTGAGCACCAGGTCTTTGTGCCATCTACAGTAAACTAAAAATAGCCAATAGTGTTACATTGCACCTTGAGGTGCTTTGAACAGGTATAGGTGTTTGAATGCTTAGACCAAAGGGAGTGGCACTTTTGGAGGTGTGGCCTTGCTAGAGTGGGTGTGGTCATGTTGGATGAAGTATGTCACTGTGGGGACAGGCTGTGATGTCTCCTATGCTCAAGTTATGCTGAGTGTGACATATAGTCTCCTGCTGCCGCCAGTGGGTCAAGATGTAGAACTCTTGGCTCTTCCAGCATGTCTGCCTGCATGCTGCCGTGCTTCTGGCCTTGATGATAATGGATGAAACCTCTGAAACTGTGAGCCAGCCCCAATTAAATGTCCTTTATAAGAGTTGCCTTGGTCATAGTGCCTTTTCACAGCAATAAAAACCAAAGTAAGACATGCTTAAAATGTCAGGTAGGTGGTTAAACTTAGTGGGTTAGCGGGATATTTACACATTCTAGTCTGGACCAAGGATTATGAACCAAATTTATGATTCAGAGCTTTTTAAATGGCATATCATAGGTCTTTGGGCTGTCTTAGGAATAGTCAGTGTCACACCAAGTGTTAAATATGAGTGTCAGAGCTCTCTTGTACTAATGGGGGAGTGAACGACACAACACCCAACACCACCACCCTTGGTCCTTCCACACTCACTCACTGCACAATTACTGATGGACTGTGTCAGACCCCTAGGTGTATTAGGACAGAAGAGAACTTAGCCTCATCCCACAGCCCCAAGAGCATACCCTGGACAGACAGCTGCTTTGATTTCTAATGAAAAAGCTTTCCTTTATTTGTCGGATAAGTTGATGTTTCATTTCTCTCTTCAGGTATATGCATTTTCTGAAAGCAGAGAGCAGTTGTTTCCATGCTTGGATCCTTCAGAGATCATGCAGCCACCACCATGCCTTAGATGTGTGTAATTCAAATAGAGAAGACACAAGCCAGTGGTCTCAATATCAACCCTTGAGTGTCCTGTAAATGGTGAGTGTGCAGTGTGCAGCACTGCTTGAGAGAGCTGGGAGTTAGCCATGCTCCTCAGAGGTGATTCTGAGCCATACAGCCATTAGGAGGACAGAGAGGAGGAGTTGCCACTCTAGGTGTTAGAATCAACTAGTTGATGGCTCATACAGTGTACATGGTAAAAGACAATATGGAACATCTGACACGTTTTCCCAGCGTGCTGACCTTGTTTTTTCTTCTCGTTTGGCTCTTGCTTCTCTCTCCTTCAGATTAATGTTTGCCGTGTGCAGGGGAATGGTAGGTGCCAAAATGCTGGCCAGCTTATGGAAAAGTAATTTGTAAACAAATGATGGGTTAGTTCTGCCAAATTTGATTAAGTGAAAAACACCAGGAACCATATTCTGTTGGGGTCTGATAGAAGGAAGGAAAGTCAGTCCAGCAGAGGGTCGAGCCTCACTTATTCCGGGATCAGTGTCAGCAGAAAAGAGTGATGTGGTGGCACACAGTGGACTGACAAGAACCACGCAGCAGCGGCTCTTTTGAGTGGCAGTGGTGCCAAGTCATGGGTACTCTCCTTGCTAATGGCAGATACCAACAGGCAAACAGTTGGCAGTGAGAGAAATATGTCTTCAGCGTTTGTACCTCCTAAAGATCTTGTCTGTAACATCCAGGCATTTTAAGAATGGTGATTTAAGACCGGTGTCTCATTTTGTTGTCCTGACAGCCTTAGACTTGTGGCAGTCCTCCTGCTTCAGCCTGCTAAGTGCCTAGATTACAGGGTTGTGCCAGCATGCCTAATTTCTAGTTTAGTTTCTTTAGAAAGGGTCTCATATAGCACAGGCTGGCTTCAGACCTGCTATGTAGCAGAGGATAACCTTGAACCCTTCCTTGATCTTCCTGCCTCTGCCTTCTAAGTTCTGGGATTACACGCATGCCCAGTTAAAATACAATAAAGTTTGAAGTGGGGGATTTAGTCACATTCTTCTGGAGACTAAGACAATAGAGTCCTTGAAGTCAAGCTGACTCTGCCTTTAGCCTCCTACATGAAAAGGTAGATAGAACAGGTCTTGTTTGCAAAATAAATTCAAGACCTACTTATCTACCAACAGCCATTACCTATGTCCTACAGTCTTCCTACAGGAAGTGGGTGGAGGGACTTGTAGATGAGGAAGGCGAGGAAAGCCAGAGCGGATGCGGTCTCCTAGTGACGGGAAGGTGTGTGGAGATCAGATGGGCGGGTTAGAAAGTTGAGAACATGTGTCTATAGTGCAGGTTCTGAGACTCTAAAAAGTGTACCGTCATTACACAATACAGCATCACAGTGAATGGTGTGTGGATCATGTCGGGTGACAGTTAGACCAGATGTGAGGGTGAGACGCTGAGACTGCTCCGATGCCCATAAACTGGTTCTCTTTTGTACTGAAGCCCAAGTCCAAGCTTCAGAAATATTTTATTACATGTACACAAGTGATTACGTCATTTGAATCAGCAGGAAGCTGTGTGTGTTGTGTGCATGAGAGAGGGAGGGGTGGGTTATGTGCCGTGGCACACATATGAAGTTCAAAGACAACTTGCAGAGTCTCTCCTTTCCTCATGTCGGGTTTGGGGATTGAACTCAGCTCCTTAGGTTTGGTACCAAGTAGCCTTACCTGCTGAGCCATCTCACCAGCCCCAGGAGCCAATCATTAAACATAACACTTGTTTGCCATTCATCATGTCTCATACATGTAATCCCAGCATTAGGGAAGCTGAAGCAGAAGGATTACCGTAAATGCAAGGTCATCTTGGGCTCAAAAACCCAGAACCCAAAAGCCACCACCAACAGCAAAAACCAAAGCAAGAAAAGTAATTCTGGCCGGGCTGTGGTGGTGCACGCCTTTAATCCCAGCACTTGGGAGGCAGAGGCAGGCAGATTTCTGAGTTCGAGGCCAGCCTGCTATACAGAGTGAGTTCCAGGACAGCCAGGGCTACACAGAGAAAAACCCTGTCTCGAAAAACCAAAAAAAAAAAGAAAAAAAAAAGTAATTCTGTAAATAAAAGCTATTTAGTTTTAACGGAAGTCAATGCTGTTTTATAGCCCATGTTCTTAACTACTTGTTCATCCTGTCTGCTTTCTGTTATGTTCTGGATAGTTTGACTACTAGATGCTTCCCACCCACCATCCTGTGAGGCTTTACAGACTCTTTCCCCTTTGCTAGGGTGGGAGCCAGCACCTGTGCCTCCCTCAGTCAGGAGTTACACAGTGAGGCCAGCACCTGTGCCTCCCTCAGTCAGGAGTTACACGGTGAGGTGGGTGAGGCTGGAGAGGAGCAGATGTTGATGGAGTTTGGTTTATCTGCTCAGTGTCAGGGGTTGTGTCACAGTGGTCTCAGTATTTAAAGATACTTTTCTATATTGAGCATAGAGTTCAAGGCTAGCTTGGTCTTAATACCAAGTTGTACCCACCCCTCCAGGGCTACATAGTAAGACCCTATCTCAAACATACAGAGACTCACACATTTAAAAAAAACATGTTTTTAAATGTTTTTGTTTTTTTTTTTTAACAGATTTATCAGAAGTTGCAGCCGAACATGGCCATGAGGTAATCCCTGCCCCTGGTTGAAAGTTAGTTTCATCAGCTTCTCCATGGGATTGTAAGGACTTGGAGTGTGTCACAAAACCCAGCAGGGTTCCCCCCCCCTTTTTTTTTTTTAAGATTTATTTTGTCTTTCTGAAGATAACATGCTTAAACAGAGTTCTTTATGGTTAGTAACTATGATGCTTGAAGTTGGTTATCCCTTATTCCAGTAAACTTTAAATGTCAAAGCTATAGGTATCTTGTTAAATAAAAAAATGTATCAAAATCTTTTGGGTATCATGTTTTTTAGTCACGTCCTGTTTGTGTTATGTGCGAAGCATTCCAGGAATCCCACTAGAACTCAGAACTCAAACTGGCCGTGTCTGTGATCCGTGTTTCCCATTTGGTGGTTTCTATTTCAGTAGCCGAGAATTTCTTTCACTGTATAGGCATGCATATTTCATTAACAGCTTCAGCTAGCTCTGTGTTTACATCTGTAGTGCCTTATGTCAGGGTAAAAGGTAAAAGGCTGTGTGTGTGTGTGTGTGTGTGTGTGTGTGAGAGAGAGAGAGAGAGAGAGAGAGAGAGAGAGAGAGAGAGAGAGAGAGAGAGAGAGAGAGAGAACGAACTCTCTGGGCAAGTGATAAATCAGGAATCTTCTGCTTGCACTAGTAGAGTCCAGAGGTGAGAGCTGTTACTGCATCAGAATTTGAGTGGACTAGAAAACAAAGTTCTAAAGAGAAGAATGTTTCTCCGGGCAGTGAGTAGGACACGCCTGTGTTGGCACCATCAGGGGATGTGGTGCTCAACAGTTTCCTGGTTTTTTGCGGGTGAAGCTCTGCAGCTGGAGTGCCAAGCTTTGACAGTGACATGGGTGGGGGACTGGAAACGTGAACAGGGGAGTTGGCGGTGCAGCTGATGGAGCCAGGCACCGTGATCACTAACTGGCATGAAGCCAGTGAGGCAGGGAGAGCTGCTGGCTACAGTGTGTTTCTCTCCCTAGGGCCCAGCTTTGACTTTGGCGAGCTGATGATTGCTTTGAAACATCATAAATACACCATGTGTCACTCACTACTTGGCACTTAGGTTTGTCATGAAGCATCACATCCTTTTGAGACAAACATTATCTTTCCTTTGCTTGAAGGGAAACAGAGGTCTATAGGTTTTAGGCAAGTAGGTACAAAATGGCAGTTGGACCCAGTCCTTGTTTTCAAATCTCGCTGCTTTTCACTTCATGACTTGATGAATCCTAGCTAATGCTCTTTCTCATATCTCTGTCTCTCCCGAGCCCCTTCCTCGGCAGCCCTTTCACCCCATTCACACATGTGCGCATGTGGCGGGCAAGTGTGGCTTCTGTTCTTCACACTGCCTCCTGTAAGGTTTTCTTCCTCCCGGCCATATTTGCTACAGTTTGGAAAGAGCCCTGCCGTCATCCCCACAGAGAGCAGCATGAATGGATGAAGAAGGTACTTGTTTACACGGCGAGTACTGGTGTGCACCAGTTGGCATGTTAGCCCCCAAAGTCAAGCTATAAACAACGCACACACTGTCTCTGCCTTTAAGTGTCTTAGAGTGGAGTTAGAACCAGGAAGCAGAAGAAAGTGTGTTTCAAAAGTGTGCATTTTGCTGTGCTGCTGCCAGCTTTTGTTGGGAAACACTGGGGTAGACGGTTGTCTTAGTCACTCTTCTATTGCTGTCACAACACTAACACTGTTTTCAAGTCCAAAGTTCAGCATTTCTTCTGAGATGCCCAGTAATCTCTTAACTGTATTACCCATAAGCTCAAAGTAAAAAAGCAGATCACGTACTTCCAATATACAGTGGCACAGGATAGATGTTACCATTCCAAAAGGGAGGAGAGGGAGCATTTGGTCCAGTGACCAAAGCAAGACCTAAACCTAACAAGGCTAACTCCAGTTCTTCATCTCCCTGTCTAAATCAGTGTTCTTCAGATCCCCAACTCCTTCCAGCTTTGTTGTCTGCAGCACACTTCTCTCCTGGGTAGGTTCCATACTGTCTTAGCAGCTGTCCTTGGCAGGTATCCCATGTCTCTGGCATCTCCAACATCTTGAGGTTTCCAAGGCAATCAGGTGTCAGCCTTACAACTTTATATCCTTTCTGGGCCTCCACACAGGGACACTCCTGACACAGACCTGGCCTCAGTGGCTTTCCTTAACTGTGGAGGAAGATTCCACCACCTCTCTCTTGTACTCAACTCTCAAGCTAGAAAGAACCACATGGCTGAAGCTGCCAAGTTCTGCTTGCTGGGACTGGAACTTGACCCCCTCTTTCAGCTATTTGCACCAGCTTTCTGTGGATGGTTTCCTTTACTGCTTAAACTTCTCTTTGATTCCTTTCACACAATGGAAGCTGAGCTGGGTGGGGTCTGGCCCTGAGGTCACCATCCCTTTACTCCAGTTAGCATCAGGCTTTTCTTTAAACTTGTCTCCTTGAGCACAGAACTTGGCTCTAACAAACCATTTCCTGGTTTTCCCTTCCTCCTCAAACTGTACATTTTGTATTGTTCCCGTTCCCCTTACTCCTTTTCACTATGGATATGCAAAAGAGCCATCACTCACAGCCTCATTCAGGGTCAATACCAGGCTGTCTTAAAATCTCCTTTGTTAAAACCGTTAATCCAAAACTCTTCAGTTTGGCCTCAGGCAGATTTTTAGGGCAAGGGCAAAAAAAAACCCAGCTATATTCTTTGATAAAATATTACAAGAACGGTCTATTGGCCACTTACTAATACTCATCCCCTCTTGAACTTCTTGATCCCCTGAGCCCCACAGTTCAAATCACCTCAGCAGTGTCTTCTGTGCTCCCATTAGTCACACTTAAAGCAGTTAGCCACTTTTCTTGTCCAAAGTCCCAAAGTCCCAAGGTCTTTCATATTCCAACAAACAGCATGGTCAAGCCTGTTACAGGAGTACCCCAGTCCTTGGTACCAACTTCTGTATTAGTCACTGTTCTATTGCTGTGAACAGACATCATGACCAAGGTAATGATTATAAAAGAAAACGTGATTGGGGGGCTGGCTTGTAGTTTCAGAGGTTTAGTCCGTTATCATCATGGCAGGAAGCATGGCAGCAATCACACACAGGGGCAGCAGTGGAGAAGTATATTCTGATCCACAAAGCCACACCTCCTAATCCTTTTCAAGTAGTGCCATTCCTAGCCCCTCCCCCACCCATGACTAAGTATTAAAATATGTAAGCCTATCGGAACCATCCATTCTTACTCAGTCTACCATGATGGCCTTGAGATGGGCACCTAACTTCCTTCTTTTTCTGTAGAGTTTCTTGCCTCCCCTAGTCTGTTCTTGGTAAACAGTGAAATGTCACAAATGTACAGGGGCTGCTGACACCGCCGTCATGACTTCCCTGACCATCTCCCTAGGTCTCTAAGTTTAGAAGACTCGAAATACTTAACATATCTACAAACTGTAATTTGACACTACAAGAATTTGACCCCACAAGAGCCCTCATTTAACAGCCTGGCCTGATAAAGGCTCCCCTGGCGTCTGCAGAGCACAGCACACAGGACGAGTCACATCCACTGAAATGGGTTCCAGTATACCATCTACTGGCACTAATGTGAGCTTTAGCTTCTGCTGGCAGTAGGAACCTTGAATACCAAGTTCAGCCAGCGAGGTGAGGGTGGCTGAGGGACAGGACGGAAGAAAGACCAGAGATATCAGAAGGGCCTACAAGAAAGTGACAAGCTTTGGCATTGAAATGCCATTGCAGATCTTTAGGCATCCAGACTTTTCTAAGGAAAAACAGGGGTGCACAAATTGGTGGAGGCGACAGCTAAATGTGTATAGGTGTTGGGCAATGTCCACATTGAAAAAGGACAGCTTGGAGTTCTCATAGTCTAGCAGGATGCCAATCTTCTTTGGAGCAACTGTGATCCTGATGTCTGGAGTCGTTCCGTTATGCAGAAACTCGTACCGATGCCTAAAAGTTCAATGTTAATACAACAAAGGTTTGGAAAGTATAGGCGGTTGTTTGGAGAGTGTTTTATACTGACTTGATTCATACTCCTACGATTTTGTCCTTTTCTTGTAGTCAGTGACTACCAAGTAACATGACATTTTCAAACTACTTCTTTCTAACATTTGTCCTAAAACACAGTCTTGGGCTTTCCTCTTGAGTGAGCTCTGCACCTCATAAGCTTTTAAACAGAACCATAAACTTGCACTGCGTCAGAGTTTGCACTGAGAGGAAACACTTGAAGCCGGTGTGTGACTCATCTGGACTAAAGACATTTGAAATGAGGGAGCCTTCTGGGCCTTCATGAACAATAAGCCTTCTCTACAAACTGAACCAGGGCTCCGGGGCTCCAGTTCTTACACTTGCTACTGAGCGAGGGTTGTGCTCGCCTGGCTGTCACAAGTGAGTGCTGACCATGACCTGCACCCCTTTCGATATGTATCCTGTGTGCTTTGAAAAGAGGTCAGAATCAAAACTAGCAACAGGACATGCAGACATCTGAAGGCCCACTTGTCTGGTATACTGACTGAGACTCCCTAAATCAGCTCTTCGGTGTCAGGCAGCTGGTCTCCATCCCCGCTCACCCTCCTCACTCTTGTAAACTGAGCAGCTACCAGAAAGCAAATGAGTCCTTTCTCTATCAACAGACTCAAGACCATGAACCAAAACTCTGGGGCTACTAGAGGCCTGTCCTCATCTTCACATGGCTTCCTTCTTTCTTCTTCCCCCCACCACGCTCCCCAACATGGTTGCTAGGAACTTCTATCGACCCCACCCTTGCTTTCCTCCATCATTCTAGCAGCCAAAATTTACCTCACCTTGCTCCCAACCCCCCATTATACACTGATTCCTTTAGCTTCCTGGTTTGACTGACCCTTGTTCTTTCTAAACAGAAGAGGCCTTTGGCCTCTTTTGGCTTCACTTAGAGTGGCTCTTGCATTCCTAAAATGGTTCTCATGGTTATCAGAGTCCAGTCTAATCCGCTTGCTCTCTGGGGGAAGGCCACTGCTCTCTTAATGCTGGGACATGACTTTTGTTTGTTTTGTTTTTTCGAGACAGGGTTTCTCTGTGTAGCCCTGGCTGTCCTAAAACTCACTCTGTAGACCAGGCTGTCCTTGAACTCAGAGATCCACCTGCCTCTGCCTCCCAAGTGCTGGGATTAAAGGCGTGCACCACCACCACTGGCTAGAGGCTAGGTCTTTTAAGAGGTGCTGACAGGGGCCTCGGGGGGCATGCCTGTGTGTTTTGTTTTTGCAGGTTTTCAAGTAAAGGAAGGTGGTTGCCACGGCCG